TCTACTTATTTGCCAAAAGGAGTTACCCTTAAACAGTTGCCAGGGTTAAATGTACATCTCTAGTAAATTTTTTGAAAGAGGGATTGGTTCTGAGTATTTTTTCTGATAGTTAAGTGCAGTTTGTGCATCTAGATATTTATCATTATTGGATACCCCTTTTTTAAATCATTTTATTGGGGGTTCATACAGCTCTTATCACAATCCATATATACATCCATTGTGTCAAGCACATTTGTACATTTGTTGCCATCATCATTCTCAAGACATTTGCTTTCTACTTGAGCCCTTGGTATTAGCTCCTCATTTTTCCCCTCTCCTCCCTCATGAACCCTTGATAATTTATAAATTACTATTCAGATGCCTTTTTATGTATGAGGTATATTGTCTTGGTTTTCTGTTATTAATCATGTATTTTTTTTAAAGTGTCTTGATAGTTTACTTGATATGTTTGCTGCCTTGTTGTTAAACTATTTTTAATTAAAATGATGATTCAGTATTGATGTATTCTCCCACAGGCGTGAATGTAACAGATCATGATTTAACATTTAGAAGTCTAACTGAGACACTTCAGAATACTGTCACCCCATATGTCGTTTCACTGCAAGCTAAAGATTGTCCAGGTAAAGAATCAGTGTCATGGTATCCTTGGGGAAAATGCTCTAAGCCTCCTCCTTCCCGCTCTGACACACAAGCCCTATGTCCTCCTTTCTCTCCAGCTTTCCTTTTCTTGTTTTGTAGTCACCAGAGCACGTATTTGAGTGGAGTTCAGGGCCTCCTGAGTGTAATCCTGACTGTTGCAGGGCTCTTTGTCAATCTGAGTTGAGTTTGAGTGATAGTTTTAACATTTACAAAGGTTTGGGATGGGGAGCTGAGAATTGGGAAGTGGGGGGTTAAATATAGCCCATTAGAAAGTAAACTACATGGGCTCGTATGTGCAGTCCCAGTTATCTTCTTATCCCAATTTGAAAGGTCTCCATGGTAAAAGTAATTCTAAACTTGAGTTTATGAATCCATCAAACCACAGTGGATGTGTGCATTAATATCAGTAGTCCCCAACTTATATCGGAGCACTATTCTATTTAATCTGAGTTTAATACTTTGCTTTTAAGTGTTTGTTATTATTGCCCTATTTTATTGGTATCTGTATAAGCCCATTGTCTGAATATCTGAAAGTAAATATCTGAGAATGCTAACATTTGAAAATTACAAGGGGGTACCCCCCCAAAAAAACTGGAAAACTCCACTGAACGGAGATTTCATAATACACATTTTTCCCACTAAGCAAGCATTGAGCCAACTCACTCTGAGTTAGTGCACCCAGTTATATCGCCTGTGAAGGTTCTCTCTGGTTACAGTGAATTTTTTTGTAAAAGCAGTTTTGCTTGAACCTCATTTTTTCTGATGGCCAATTTAAGAGAATAGCTTGTGGCTGTGAAATTTTGTTTCTTACTAGGGAAAAAATGCCGCAGAAACTGCTATATTGAACACAACTTACAAGGACATTACTATGGGAAAAACTCAAACATGTACGAGTGGCTTCTCATTTTTAAAGTGAAATGTTGATTGGTGACAAACTTTGCCCTGGACGTCAGTCCCCTTCCCGAACAGACGAAAATGGTGACAAAATATGTGCACTTGTGCTTGAAGACCTATGATGACAGACCTTGAAGAGATAGGGAAGTTATCTGGATTATCTTGGAGCTCGTTCAGCGAATTTTAATGGAAGATAGAATGAGAAGGGTTGCTGTGAAATTTGTGATTCCGGTTCTGACTGACCAGGAAAAAGAGCGTTGAGTGGAAACATGCCAGGCTTTGAAGAACAGCTCCTAAGCAGCCCAGACTCTTCCAAAGGTCATTACTGGTGAAGAGACATAGTGCTATTCTTACGACCCTGAAAGCAAACATCAATCAAGCTAATGGAAGATGTCATCGTCACCTCCCCTAAAAGAAGTTCATCAAGTGAAATCAAAGATCAAGATGATCCTCTTTTTTTTTTTAATGTGAGGGATAAGGCATTTGGAGTTCATTCCACCAGGTCAGACTGTTAATCAAGCTTTCTATTTAGAGGTTTTGGAAAGATTGCATAACTGTGTGACCAAAAAGTCCTGATTTGTGGCAGATGGAGGACTGGTTTTGCCACCACGACAATGCACCTGCTCATGCAGCCATCTCTGTGTGCCAGTTTCTGGCAAAAAAGCAGTATGTCTCTCTTGCCCCATGCACCTTACCTATCCAAACAGATGAGTTTGAAAGATGTTTCAAAGAATGGGATTGCAAATTTGATTCATGTATTAAGTGTTAGTGGAGAGTACTTTGAAGGTGATAAGCTTGTTTTGTAAAAAAAAAAAAGTCATAATTTTGAACAAAAATTTTGTTATTTTGGGGTATCCCCTAGTATTACTAACAGTAAGGTATGCCCCCCCCCAAAATTCATCAGACAGTTATGAATACATTTAATCCTAACAAATATATCAAGTGGGGGAATACTTTTAGTAAAATGTGTTTGAATTTAGACTGATAAATGGGCTGTATTAAGTAAGAGCCTTTAGGACATTTTTAAAGATGACTCAAAGGAAGATTTGTAATTAGTAAGAATAATTTATATAGGTAAACATTTTTTTTGTCCATTAGAGGCTTTGAAAACATTTTGTTGCCCAGTGTAATTTAAATACATATTATTCATAAAGTAATTAATAGTTTTGATATTTATACATTTACTTTAAATATTGCTTTTATTATAGATAATATGTACAAGTTTTGACCTAGCCTTATTATGAGTTAATGAAATTTTAAATATTAGAGAGAGTATTAATTAGTATGTTAGATGTTATATCAATTACATCAATGAAGAGTAGAAAAACAGTCTAATCAAATATGGTACACTATCAAGAAATTTCAGGGTTTTCAACTATGTTTTAAGAGGTGATGAGAAAAAAAAAAAGAGGTGATGAGATTTCTTACTCTCTGTTCTGCAGATATGAAGCATGTTTTGCAAAAGCTGGCCTCACAGTTGGTGGACTGTGGTGTAGATATAAAATCCAACGAGGAGGAGAGGACGCAGGTCTCTCAGAAAAGGGAATACTGTTCGATGGATTTCCTTTCCAGTTGGTATAGGAATGTCACACAGGTAAATGTAAAACTACAATTTTCTCTTACGAAATTGGCATATATATATATAATTGAAGGAGCTGGGAATTATATTACACATAGTACTGCTTTATGCAACAAAGCATATGTTAATGTAGCTATTTATTTTCCTAAGGCTACTACTGTTCTTTTATTAGTATGCCGTTAATTCCTAGTAAGTGCTGAGGGACTTCCAAGGCGAGTATGTATGGTGAGATGTCACTAGGTTACAAAAACAGCATCTAGAATTAGTTTTGTTGTAAATGCATATTTCGGTGACATTGACCATAACTTGAACACATGATCTCATATTTCCTTTTGTGCAGTAGAATCATGCTGCCAATACTCACTGTCAACTTACTCTTATGAGGACTAATTATATTTGGTTGTGGTTGGTTTTTCAAATCAAAAATGTTTTATGCTTTGAGTATCTGGTGAAAATGAATGACTTTCTACATTATAAAACCACAGAAAGTATGAGAAAAATATTGTTGTGCCTTTTTTTCAGACCTATATCTGTCATTGTAAATGAGGGTTTATGAAAATGCCTATTTAGTTCCACAGTGGACTAGTTTTTTAAAATAAATTTCTATTTGAAACAAGTATTTTTATCAACAGAAAAATTAATTTTATAGAAAATGTGCCCCCCCCCATGCTTTTATTATTTTCTCAGATAGCAAAAAAATACAAACATTTCATATGAGTTACAGATTTTACTGAACTCTTTTCTTCTTGGCTATTACTCCCATGTCAGACCCAGAAAGATTCTGCTAGTAAAACTGTTGGAATGAGTTTCTGTTATGTGGGAGGAATAAAAGAAACTGTGCTACTGTGAACTGGATAGGGAGATCTTTATGTACCTAGCGTATAGCACTGTGTGGATGGTGAGGCATGTTTTTAACTCCTTCTGTCCACGATAACAGAAGAAGATAGACCCCAAACTGCCAAGCAAAAAAAGGGCTTGGTCTGGCCAATGGCAGTCTCCTCCTGTTGTGCTCATCTTGAAGGATATGGAAAGCTTTACCACGAAGGTGCTTCAAGACTTCATCATCGTCAGCAGGTAGACGATGTGTCTAAATTCTCTTATTATTAAGAAAGCGTGTTAAAAAAATCATTTATTGGGGGTCTCTTACAGCTCTTGCATCGGTTGTATCGAGCATATTTCTTCATATGGTGCCATCCTCATTTTCTAAACAATTACTTTCTATTTGAGCCCTTGGTCTCAGCTCCTCTTTTCCTCCCCGCTTCCCTACCCCTCCTGTCATGACCACTTGATAACTTATAAATTATTATTATTTTCATATCTTATACCATCTGCTGACTTCACCCACATTTCTGTTGTTTGTCCCCCTCGGGGGTGGGGAGAGGGGCAGGTTATGCATCAATCACTCCCCTCGATTCTCCCTTCCTCTCCTCCCCCCACCTTCTCCCTACTCTCCTGGTATCACTACTCCCATTTCTGTACCTGAGGGGTTTATCTGACCTGGATTCCTTGTGTCATGAGCTCTTAGCTGTACCAGTGTACTTGCTCCGGTCAAGCCAGAACTGAAAGGCAGGAGTCATCATGGTGTGTGTATGGAGGTGTGGGTGGGTGGAGGGTAGAAGCCTCACAGAACTACAGGAATATTGTGTGTTTCATCAGCACTATACTGTGCCCTGGTTAACTCACCCCTTCCTTGTGACCCTTCTATAATGGGATGTCCCAAATTCCAAAGATGGGTTTGGGTCTTTGCTCTGATACCCCCTATTCTCAACAATAAGGTTTTTTGTTTGGGGTTTTCTGGTGCCGGTTACCTGATTCTGTTGACACCTCATGATCGCACAAGCTGGTGTGCTTCCATGTGGGCTTGTTGAAGATGGCCACTTGTTTAACTTCAAGCCTTTAAGACCCCAGACGCTATATCTTTGATAGCTGGGCACCATCAGCTTTCTTGTTGTTTTTAATTCCCTAGTTGTTCCCCTGTCTCTTTATGGTGTTACGTGCTCACCACTCCTTTCCCCCTTCTCCCCAACCGTCAATTCAGTTGCTTTCTCCGCGGGCTTGCTTCCCGTGCCTGTCTTATATACAAAAGATTGAATAAAGAGAGAAAACAAAAAAGCATACATAATTTAAGTCTGTCCACTGACGTTTATGACTATGTCCCCACCGGTCCTGGGGAGTTCTAGGAACTGCCCCTACTAGCCTGAAGTCTATCTTGGGGGCTCCTTGGGGTTTTGTGGCATTGTTTTGCTCCCAAGACTGATCTGCTATGTTCTCTTCTTGGTTTGCCCCACTGTGGTGTGAGGGTGGGGGTGGGGTGGGTCAGACTGGGTCACTCCCCACCCTGTGTCCCCAGAATTGTCCTTTGTTGCAGTATGCTCCAGCGAGGAGACATCATGTCTCAAACTTTTGTTAGCCTTACAGTCCTCTCTGTGCTTCAGTAGCTCTGTGCAGGGACATCATCCTCAGGGCTTGGTACTCAAGTATGCGGTCTAGTTCGTTCCTCTCTTTTCCCTTGTATGCTTCTGTATGGGCGTGGCAGGCCAGCCCCTCTCCCCAATCGGTAGGTTTAGTGTTGTCCTCTGTAGCACCTACTACTAGGGGGCAGGGGTGGGTGGTGGTAGAGTTTCAGTTTAGCTCTGATTGGGGCCAGCCCTCTGGTTACATTGGCCGTAAGGTTTGGCAGTGGTGGGGTCTCTATTCCCACTCTCATTTCTGTGGAGACATAAACAATACCCTTTCCCTGGGTAGATTAATGCCCTGCTACCCCAGTGCCATCATCTCCCTCTTTTTCCCCCCCTCTTCTCCCTTTCCCCCCCTTTCCCCTTCTTTGTGTTGGAATGGCATGCACATCCTTGGTTTAGTCTGTCCTCCACTAATTTGCCTGTATCTCAACCCATAAAGTGACTTCAGTGGCTCTTCTTCCATACCTACTGTGCTGTTTATACTTACCTCAGTGTACTCATGTTGTACTTGTCCTTTTGTGATTGACTAACTTTGCTTAGCATAATTTCCTCCAATTCTTCCCCATGATACGAAGTACTTCATGTTATCATCAGTGCTTTTTAGTGATGCCTAGTACTCCAATGTGTGTATGTGCCAGATTTTTCTAATCCACTTGCCTACTGACAGAAATTTAGGTTGTTTCCAATTTTTTTGCAATTGTGAATTACACTACAATAAACATTGGAACAAAGACGACGGGTTGTGGTCTATTTCTTACCTCTACTGGGTATATGCCCAGTAGAGGGATTGCTGTGTTGTAAGGTAACTCAGTTTCCTTTTGCTTTAAATATTGTCAAATGGCTTTCCACAGTGGCTATAAGTATCTACTCGACCACCAGCTGTGGAGAGTTCCTATCTCCAGATTATCCGCTCCAGCATTTGTTGCTCTCTGATTTTCTGATTTGGGCTATCCTCAAGGGTGTTAGGTGGCATCTCATAGTTGTTTTAATTTGCATTTTTCTGATGGCTAATGATCAAGACCATTTTCTCATATGCTTTTTGGCCAGTCAGGTCTCCTCCCTAGTGAAACTTCTGTTCAGGTCTTTTGCCCACTTCCTAAGGGTGTTAACTGTTTTCTTCTTTTTGTAGGCTAGGAGGGTATTGCAGATTTAATAATAAGCCCTTTGTTGTGTCATTGCTAAAAATCCTCTCCCAGCCTGTCGGTTAATCTCTTGAAGTCTTTCGACCCACACAGGTGTTTTATCCTTAGTATATCCCATTCATTGATTTCAGCTTCATCAGTGTGTGTACCCTTTCCTATTACAGTTAGTCTATGTATTATTCCCTGTGCCAAGGTTCTTAGGTTTGTCCCGATTCCTTCATTGATGGTCCTGATAGTTTGGGGTTTTACTTCTAGGTCTGTGGTCCACCTTGAGTTTGTTCTTGTGCCTGGGGTGAAGTCAGGGTCTTGTTTCATTTTTCTACAGGTGGATACCCATTGTTTCCAGCATCACTTGTTAAAGAGGACATCCACCTCCCACTTGATGCTTTGGGGCCCCTTTTTGAAGACCAGTTGTCTGTATGCTGATGGCTTTATTTCTGGGTTTTCTGTTCTTTTCCGTTGGTCTGATTATCTGTCATTACTCTAGTACCACGCTGTTTTGACCACTGTGGCTGCATAGTAAGTGTTAAAGTCAGGTAAGGCAAGCCCTCCAACTTTGTCCTTCTTCATCCTGGCTATTGATGTTATCACTTCTTTTCCTTGGTTAGGTTTGCCAGCGGTCTGTCGATTCTGTTGATCCTTTCCAAGAACCAGCTTTTTGCTGCATTGATTTTTTTTTTTACATTGTTCTCTTGTCTTCCCACTTGTTTAACTCTGCCCTGATTTTTATTTCTTTTTTTTTGTAATTGGAGGGCTTGTTCTGTTGACTCAGTACTAGTTGTTGAAGGTTTTGTGATAGCATATCAGTCATAAGTCTCTCTTCCTTTTTCATATATGCATTAAACAATATCAAACTTCCTGTGATAACTGCTTTTGCTATATTCCATAGGTTTTGGTACATTGTATCCTCATTTTCATTTGTTTGTAGAAACTTTCTAATTTCCTCTCTAATCTGGGCCGGTACCCATTCATACCAAGTTTGACCTTGTTTTTCTGGTCATCCTTTTGTGATCTCCAGCTTTATGGCGTGGTGGTCCGAAAGGGACATCTAAGTGATCTCTTATATGTTTGCATTTACTCAGGCTCGACTTGTGTCCCAGCATGTGGTCTGTTTTCATAAATGAGCCATGTGCACTTTAATTTGGATTGAGAGCTCTATAGATGTCTTATCAGGTCCAGTTGTCTAATTGTAGTGTTTAGCTTGGTAGCCTTATTGTTGAGCGTCTTTCACAGTCATATAGCTTTCTCTGATAGCGGCATATTAAAGTCATCTACTATGATTGTTGAGACTGTGGTTTCTCTTTTTCATTTTTTGAATAGTTTGATGAATTTTGCGGGTCTTATTAGGCATATATATATTGATTATACTCACTGGTTCCTGGTCTACTGATCATTTGAGCATTGTATAGTGCCTATCCTTGTCTCTTGTGGTTTGCACCTTGGGGTCACTTTTGTCAGAGATTAGAATTGCAACCCTGCAAAGAAAGCTTTCTTTTAACTTAAAAAACAACTGTTTTCAAAGAAAACGAATGGTTATTTGAGCTTCATTTCATTTCCAATTGAATAGAAATGGAAATAATTTCAAGTTCTTAATGTTCAAATACCTTTTAATAAATTTTTCGGTTGCTTTTTGACTCAAAATGAGAATCAAAAATCATAGGGTGAGGCAGTATTAATTGACATTTATCTCAGTAAGGTCTCTTACATGCATGTTAAACTGATAATTTGCTCCAGGTTGACATTTTTGTGTCAAGTGTTATTTCTTGGTGTGTGTACCCTTATAGACTCTTGAGTTTCCTATAGCTCTATAGAGCAAGAATATTTTCTAATTTGTGAAATTAGAAATTTCACACTATATAATACTTAGAATGAGAAATTACTTTCAGATCTCATTAAATCTTCAGGATAATCTTGTGAAACTTAGAAATGGAGTAATTAACCCTATTTAATAACCCAATGGCATGTATTTCACATTTTTAAATTGTCATGAACTTAGCCTCTTCTGTATGTCAAATCAGAGCCCTGGTGGTATAGTGGCATTATGCGTTGAGCTGCTAACTGTAAGATTAGCAATTTGAAACTACCAGCTGCTCGAAGGGAGAAAGACAAGGCTTTCTACTCTAACGAGTTACAGTCGTGGGAACTCACAAGGGCAGCTTGAGCCTGTCCTATAGGGTCGCTATGAGTCGATGTTGACTTGATATATGTCAACTTCCCTTAATAGTTAGGGCTACAATTGCTTAAAGTTATATTGAGTTACAGTTTGATAATGTAATTTTTGTTTTGATAGTATCTCTTGTTTTCCATGGACTCCAAACTGTTTACATGCTGGAATCATGTATAGTATCAAACAGTAACAATAATACTCCACTTTTTTGGACCTCAGACTTGTAACTAACCATAAAAAGTAAAAGGAAGAAGAACTTAGAACAGCAAGGGAGTCCAGGCATTTTATTTTTTTGAAGAATGGCACATAGCTAGAATACTAAAAGCAATAGCTAACAGAAGGGTGCAAGCAAAATCATGAGTTCTTATAAAAAGACTCTAACCTGCAGCAGCCCCCAATATTTGCACACTTTGACTACATGGCTCTATGGACTCTTCATTTTGATAATGCTTAGACTACGTACATCATGTTTAATAAGTTGATCGAAGGCTACAATGGGATCTAAGATTTCTGTAAGTGTCCATTGAAAAAGGTATATATGTATAAGATGAGTTTTCTATCTCTTAGCTGTTACACCTGGGTGTCAGCAGTGTCTGCTAGAAGTTTCCGTACATAGAAGAAAATCAACTTGAAAATTAGTGTTGTATCTATCACTGGACTCAAAAGTAAAGGCCCAAAACTCCGAGGTTTACGTGGGAAATCAAAATGAATAGGATCTAATCCCTCTTCTAGCCATTGAGCGTTTATAGCCGTGGGGAAGCACCTGATCTCTCTGAGCCTCTGTGTTCTTATTTATAAAATATAAGAGCCACTAATAGGTTAATTTCAGAGCTAGAGTATCTGTAGATAACTGTTTCTTGTGTTTCACTATTTGAGGAAAATGCATGACCTATGATACTGCTTAGCACTAACTTATAAAGTAGTTATTAAAATAAACTGTTTTTTGAAATATGGTTGCTAAAAAATTCTGTATTGGCTCTTTCTTTGAAAACCAGTCAACATCGACATGAATTTCCACTAATACTAATTTTTGGAATTGCCACATCTCCGATTATCATACACCGGCTGCTTCCCCATGCAGTGTCATCACTATTGTGTATAGAACTATTTCAGTCTTTGTCTTGCAAGGAGCACCTAACTACAGTACTTGATAAGGTAAAAAGAAAATGCTTTACCAACAACGTAGGATTAAAAGAAAACTGTCAAGAAGTTATTGTCAATATGCACGTAGGAGAGATGTTCTACATCTCTCGGAGTCGTGCCATGTATATTGATTGCTTGTATGTAATGATTTTTTATATTGGTATGATATTACCTCATCAGGTAAAATTACAAGCTTATGAGAAGAATGCGCATTTATGTGTCTATGTGAATATATATACACAACGGGGCTTCAAGAAGTTTGTGGGAAAATTCCATTAGCCTTTACTTGTTTTTTTCCCATGAATTTTTTGAAATTCTCTCATATATCATTAGCCAATGTTAAAGTGTAGGCTTTTAAGTAGTTACATTATGTGTAGAATTTCTAGTAACAATAGTGATGCTTTGACTTAGAGTTTACATAAAATGATTTGAAGCTTTTAGTGCATGCTTTCCTAGCTTACTGTCTTACTTCTTCTGAGAGTAAATACATTTGCAATTTTCTCAGATCTTAGGTACCATACTGTTTTAAGTAAAAATATGATTTTTTTAAGGAATAACCTAACACAAATTATTGCTAGACTCAAAGACTTACATGAGGTGAACAATGACAACCTGCCATTTATTTATTAACCACATCTGTATTCCCAGTGTGCGCCCCCCCACCCCATAAAAATGATACCCATATGATTTCCTAATTTAAGGAAAATTTTCCCTGAGACATACAGACGTGGACTGCTTTTTGTAGTCAAATTCAGTTGTCTTATGGATGTGCTTTTTTAGTTTTTGAAAGAAGTCTTGTGTAACTTATCACTTTCAGGTGTAAAAGTCTTCACTAAAAGCCACTGAAAATTAGCTGAATTATATAGACGAGTCACCTGTGAGTTCTGTGATAGTCCTCATTCACTGGTTCATAATGTGTTATGCCATTCTTCATTAATTTACGTCATTAGACACAAAAAAAGAAATCTGGTAACAAGAATTGCCAAAGGCTGGAGCTCTTTCCGTGTCTGCAAATGGGAGAAAACGAAATATATAGTAATAGGCGCAGTACTTTTTAAAAATTAGGAATTGGATAGAGGATAATGGCCACCTTTAGTTCTGAAGATGTATTATGAATAGCTTCCTGTGGGCTATTACTGTTAATTTAAAAATCAGTTGATATCATTCAGAGAAAAAAAAACCTGCCTCCTATTGTAGTTTTACTGGTTGCTATGTCAAAATATCAATCCCTGCCTTATTATTTATACTTCATGTTTAAAAAGAGTAACAAGTTTTTCCTGTACCTCTCTCCCTTTTGTATCTTTCAGCTACTTCTGACAACTCAATTTCCCTTTAAGATAAGTGAAAAAGTGTTACAGATTCTAACCAACATTTTTTTGTACCATGATTTCTCAATTAAGAACTTTATAAAAGGACTTCAGGTAAGAAGCACTTATGAGTTTGAAAAATCAGAAACTGAATGTAAATAATTTGCATGTTTATATCAGACTGTTAAGGCCTTTTTAATAATTGCTGTCATTCTAGGTTGTATCACTGTTAGGTTACTTTGCAGCAAAGTATAGGAAACA